TTAGTTATGTTGGTCGTCAAACATCAAAATCCAAAGTAAATGGGTCTATGGTCCATTTTTCTTACAGTGAGGTTATGAAAAACTCTTGGGAAAAACAAACAGCCTCCTTGTATTCCAGGAAAAATGGAGCAGAAAATCCTTAATTCTTTCTTCCAAAGAAATTCTTCTTCAGATTGACAGACAGGGAGCTTGCAGCCCCACACAGCGAGCGCTTAGTGAAATCATACCTTTGCATTGCCTATCCACAGTCGCAGTCCATATCCTAGCTTACATTCACTTGACCTAAATTATTCGCGAAAGAATCAGCATCTCAGGACTGTATGAATTGACAAATCCTACCAATCGAGCTCGTTTCTTGTTTCCCAAGGACGCACGGATCTCGCAGTACGGGTTGGTGGTCTTTGCCAGTCCTGGAAGTAGCCGCGATGGAGCGATGGCGACCTCCAGACGCAATAAGACAGTGATCTCGAGCTTAAAAAATGCATCCACGCACCACAGATCCACAATACCGTGCACATCCTATAAACAGCACTACACAGGAACCATCCTCTCCGGACGTGCGTCGTCATCAGTTGCGTATGCAAAAGTGTATAGGGACAGCTGAACTAATCTTCTTGGTGTATGTGTGTCAGTGTGTGTATATATGCAGCAACGAAGGATGGCGCCACACACTGCCACAGCAATACAGCACACTAACACCAACTTGCGACCGATCTATCAGAAACACATCGGCCATCATGGATAAGGCGTATGTCGCCATCCTCTCCGTCGCCTTCCTCTTCCTGCTCCACTACCTCGTGGGCCGCGCCGCCGCCGGCGGCAAGGGCAAGCGGCTGCCACCGAGCCCTCTGGCCATTCCGTTCATCGGCCACCTCCACCTTGTCAAGACGCCGTTCCACTCGGCGCTGGCCCGCCTCGCGGCACGCCACGGTCCGGTGTTCTCCATGCGCATGGGGCACCGCCGCGCGGTGGTCGTGTCCTCGCCGGAGTGCGCCAAGGTGTGCTTCACGGAGCACGACCAGAGCTTCGCCAACCGCCCGCATTTCCCGTCGATCCGGCTCGTGTCCTTCGACGGCGCCATGCTCTCCGTGTCCAGCTACGGGCCCTACTGGCGCAACCTCCGCCGCGTCGCCGCCGTGCAGCTCCTCTCCGCGCACCGCGTCGCCTGCATGTCCCCAGTCATCGCTGCCGAGGTGCGCGCCATGGTGCGCCGGATGAACCGCTTAGCCGCGACGGCGCCCGGCGGGGCCGCGCGCGTCCAGCTGAGGCGACGGCTGTTCGAGTTCTCTCTCAGCGTGCTTATGGAGACCATCGCGCAGACCAATACCTCCCGCTCCGAAGCGGACGCCGACACTGACATATCACCCGAGGCGAACGAGTTGACGCAGATTTCCCAAGAGATCATGCCGCACCTCGGCACTGCCAACCTGTGGGACTACCTGCCGTTTCTGCGGTGGTTCGACGTGTTCGGCGTGAGGAACAAGCTCATGGCTGCCGTGAGATGGAGGGACGCGTTCCTGCGGCGGCTCATCGACGCGGAGCGGCGGAGGCTGGACGATGGCGGCGACAGCGAGAAGAAGAGCATGCTAGCCGTGCTGCTCTCTTTGCAGAAGTCAGAGCCGGAGCTGTACACGGATACCATGATCATGGCGCTGTGCGGGGTGAGTGTTTCAAATAGTACCTTCTTTTGGGCAAAGTTTGCTAAACTTATACCTTACTATTACAATTACAACAAACGGAAGTAGTGATCATCTCACAAGCAATGTACCCTGATATACACTGCATGTCGCTTTCTTCTTTCCCCCCCTGTGATGAAGGACTTATTTGGCGCCGGAACGGAGACAACATCGTCCACGACAGAATGGGCCATGTCGCTTCTGCTCAACCACCCGGAGGCTCTCAAAAAGGCACGGGCAGAGATCGACGCGGTTGTGGGCAGCTCCCACCTGATCACCCCGGACGACGTGCCCCGCCTCGGCTACCTGCACTGCGTCATCAACGAGACCCTGCGCATGTACCCGGCCGCTCCGCTGCTGCTGCCGCACGAGTCGTCCGCGGACTGCAAGGTCGGCGGCTACGACGTGCCCCGCGGCACGCTGCTGATCGTGAACGCGTACGCTATCCACAGGGACCCAGCGGTGTGGGAGGACCCGGCCGAGTTCAGGCCAGAGCGGTTCGAGGACGGAAAGGCCGAGGGGCGGCTGTTGATGCCGTTCGGGATGGGGCGGCGCAAGTGCCCCGGGGAGACGCTCGCGCTCCGAACTGTCGGTATGGTGCTCGGGACACTGATCCAGTGCTTCGACTGGGACAGAGTTGATGGTGTCGAAATCGGCATGACCGAGGCCGGCGGGCTGACCATGCCCCGGGCCGTCCCGTTGGAAGCCACGTGCAAGCCTCGTGCAGCTATGAATGATGTTCTTCAGAAGCTCTGATATAATATTTTGGCATATCCTAGGTTCTCATATATAGCAGTTTATAAAATACAGTATATATAGCCGCATATATGTATGAACAATTACTCAATTAGTACTACTTGTGTTGCCAGCGTGCTTTAGCAAATTTCATCTTCTGCAGGTTGTCTTGTACTGAGAGCATCTGCAACAGTATTTCGTAAACCCACTCTCTAAATCACTATTTCGAGAGCCTTTCAATAAAAATCGCTGTCTAAGTCTCTATATCTTTTTTACCCTTCAATAATTTCTCTATATCTGATTCGACAGTTTCTACAACCATACTGTTGGGTGCTTCCAGTGGTTGTAAATATAGTAGTCCATTTAGGTTTGTTGAAAGTCTAACTTTTTTTACCTTGACCATCAATATCTAATATACAAATAGTCCACAGAAGATTGATGCTACTAGATTCATTATAGAATTTTTTTTATTTAAGATAATGTATTTTTTAGATATAGTGCTATTCAGAATGGAAAAATGACTTTTTTTAAGGAACCACGTGATTCCATTAACCTTGTGAACCAGATAAATCACTGGTCACCAACACATGAATACAATGTGGTAGATCACCAGGACAAAAAACAACATCCTCCTGACAAAGACTACCAAATCTAGCCAATTCATGTGCTACTCTATTACAAAGGCGTGGAGCATAAATGACTTAAGCTTCAATAAATTCCTCTGTAAATAACTCCTTAAGATCATGCACCATACCTCCCATGGACGATAACCTAAAGTCAAGAGATTTCAAAGCTCGAGTGACCAGCGACGCATCTATTTCGAGAATTATTCGATTGATGCCCAAGCACTAAGCTGCCTTCACCCCTTTGATGCAGGCAACGTCCGTTTGGATCACCTCTCCCTCTTCATCTCTGAGCCCAGAGCCCTTTCCTTACACAAGCCACCATCAACGTTTATTTTCTTCATGCCATTCAAAGGATAGACGACATCATTTGAGCCTAGACATTGTGGAGATGCTGACCTGCGTGAAGGATTGGGAGCTAGGCGATGCAAAGGCGCAACACTGCATGGAGAACAAGGAACTTGCATTGGCAATGCTTTTAGTGATTTGTAGACGAATAAACTTCTGCTACTGTGCAATACTGTAACTGGACTTTGAACATTTAGAGCACGATTGTACTCTTTTTTATATAGGTTTTATATTACAAGGTGTGAGTTTTTACCTAGATAGATTTTAATGAGGCAACCATTGCACAAATAGTTCAAACTTATATTGCTATTTGAAAATTGAACTCTGTAGCCCAGTGTGTTTCCGTACAATATGATGTGATCTGTGAATATGTGTATGAATATGTCATGATGACATTATGTGGTGATGTATATAAACAGGTTATATTTTGCTAGGTACTTTGCTTTGTTCTAAACTTGAGACGATAAGGATGAAATGAATGTAACATTTGAAGTGCTACTTCAATTGTTGAATAAATGAGTGGTCATTTGTGGTTACAGTGCCTGAGCTAGCACGGGCAAGCCAGTCGGGTAGTATTTGTCGTATGGCAGCTCACAGCTAAGAAAATATAGGGCTCGACCACAACAAGGCATGGCAAGGCAAGACATGGAGAGCTAACCGTGTCTATCGTGTCCGGGTCTAACCGTATCATGCCACGACCCTGTTTCAATCCATTAGCTCATAGTAGTTAGCTAGCTAATAGTACATAGTTAAATATTAGCTAGCTAACTATTATCAGAGGGGGTGTTTGGATACACAGCTAATTGATAAGGTTGGGTTGTTGGTCCACCTATTAGCTGTTATTATCTGATTTGCTCCAACTACGTACTGAGATAGTTGTTATATATAGAGGTACATATAATAATTAGCCAGTCCATTATCTATACATGTTTGTATACAAAAGAGATAATTATTAGCATACAGCTAGTCTACTATAGTACTATGTGCATAGAACCAAGCAGGACTTTAGTAGGTGTGAGATTGTCACACACATGGCGTGAGCGCTAATTAAAATCATCCCCTTGGCGTGTTACACAGTCCCATTCCATATGCAACGTTGACTTCGTCTTATTAGTTTTATAGTATTCACCTAACCTAAATTACTTGCGAAAGAATCAGCTGCTCAGCATTGTATGAATTAACTAATCCTACCGATCGCGTGATTTTCTTGTTTCCCAAGACGCTTGGATCTCGCAGTGCAGGTTGGCCTTTCACCTTTGCCACTACTCCAAGAAGAAGCCGCGATGGTGGGGATGAGTGATGGCAACCACCACAAAGACACAAGAAGACAGTAGTGGTCTCGACTCTTGAGCTTAAAAAATGCATCGACGCACCATAATATCGGGCAGGTCCTGTAAACAATACTACACAGGATGACAGGAACCATCCTCTCCGGACGTCCGTCATCAATTACGAGTGCAAAATTGTTTGTTATGCTTCAAATCGTACGATCCTTGTCAAGTTTGAATCTCGGTGTGTGTATATATGCAGCTATGGCGCCACACAACCTCCAACTCGCGATCAATCGACTGGAAGAAACACACACCAGCCAAGCCATCACTCCGTCACTAGGCGGGACATGGATGAGGCCTATGTCGCCGTCCTCTCCGTCGCCTTCCTCTTCTTGCTCCACTACCTCGTGGCCCGCGCCGGCGCCGGCGGCAAGGGCAAGGGCTCGCAGCAGCTTCCGCCGAGCCCTCCGGCCATCCCGTTCCTCGGCCACCTCCACCTTGTCAAGACTCCGTTCCACGCGGCGCTGACCCGCCTCGCGGCGCGCCATGGCCCTGTGTTCTCCATGCGCATGGGGTCCGGCCGCGCCGTGGTCGTGTCCTCGCCGGAGTGCGCCAAGGAGTGCTTCACGGAGCACGACGTGAACTTCACCAACCGCCCGATGTTCCCATCGATGCGGCTCGTGTCCCTCGACGGCGCCATGCTCTCCGTGTCCAGCTACGGCCCGTACTGGGGCAACCTCCGCCGTGTCGCCACCATCCAGCTCCTCTCCGCGCACCGCGTCGCGTGCATGACCCCCGCCATCTCCGCGGAGGTGCGCGGCATGGTGCGGAGGATGGAGCACGCCGACGCGGCCGCCCCCGGCGGCGCCGCGCGCATGCAGCTGAAGCGGAGGCTGTTCGAGCTCTCCCTCAGCGTCCTCATGGAGACCATCGCGCAGACCAAGACATCCCGCACCGAGGCCAACGCCGACACGGACATGTCGCCCGAGGCGCAGGAGTTCAAGCAGATTATCGACGAGCTCGTGCCGTACATGGGAACGGCCAACCGGTGGGACTACCTGCCGGTGTTGCGTTGGTTCGACGTGAGGAACAAGATCCTCGACGCTGTGAGCAGAAGGGACGCGTTCTTTAGGCGGCTCATCGACGGGGAGCGGCGGAGGCTGGACGATGGCAACCATAGCGAAAATAAGAGCATGATTGCAGTGCTCCTCAGTTTGCAGAAGTCTGAGCCCGAGGTCTACACTGACACTGTGATCATAGCTCTGTGCGCGGTGAGTGCTTCTTCTACTACCATATATCACCTCTCTTGTCTTGACAAAAAACTAATAAGTAGACCATTTTCTCAGTTTTTGTATCTATAAAGTATGTCTACTTCCAGTCTAGTTCTGCAAAGCACAAAAATCTCTCCACAAACAGGGTCTTGAATGATTCTTATCAAATTTTGTGGTCCGAGAAGGTGACGAACAACGGCTTCAACAAAACAGCCGGTCTGGGTGAATGCTCCGTCCCCAAGTAGCAAACAACATCATCTGGGGTCTAGGTGCCACCCCTAGCCGCTAAAACGCAAGGTTGCTCGCATTGAAATGGCTTCATCCGAAGTAAGACCTCTAGAAATTCCTAATATGAACAAAACTGATACCGAACCCAAAATCAATTGGAACTAAATGCAAATAGGGGGTGACCAAATCCATCTAACCCTCACGGTGCAAGGTGCTCGAGGCAGAGCAAGTACAGGCAACAGATCAAAATGAAAATGAAGCAACGGGTGAAGAGAATGAGGATGAAGCACCAATGGGTGGAGAGAACTAATGGATTCATATTGGGGTTTTTAGTTGGTCGAACCGCTGCCAAGGCGCCGACAGGACCCGAGGGGAGTTGGGAACGGGCCGGGTGCTTCTAGGTTTGTTGCCAAACGAACGGTCCAGATTGATCAGCAGCGAGAATGGATGGCACGGGATAAGTTAAACAATGTCTGTATTAAGCCGACCATTGCCACGCTAATCTAACGCTATAATACAGCGATTATCAGCGGTTAAACTGGTTTTAGATTCTCCTAGAAACAACCGCAACCGTACGTGATAGTTTTTCCCCTTTTCTTTCACAAATATACAGAAAAACAAAAAAACATTCATCGAGAGATCAAATCTGTGCACTGGCATTTTGGAAGTAGTATTGGAAAGAACTTGCTTTGCATTTCATATAAAAAGGTGGCATTGAAGAGATCAAATCTACGCGAATAGAATTTTTTTCATTGATTCATTATGTACATGTAACATATAGATATAATTTGGACGAATACATGATTGAACTCGTCCGGAAGCATAATAACTAACCTAGACTATTAAAACTACTTATACTAACTATAAATTACTTAATCTAAACATCGCCTCGCTCGCTTGGGAGGAGGCGAGGCGAAGTCGGAGTGGGAGTGGGAGTTGGAGTCGTCATCTTCGACGTCGGTGTCGTCCTCGTCCTCGTCCTTCGAGTCCTCTTTCTCGGAGCTCCACAGAGGACTATAATCAGAAGACCTCCAGTTGTCGGAGGAGACGTCCTTCTCGGAGGACTGATGGGCTGCTTGGAAACTTGATGGGGTTGTCCGACATTTTCTTTGTAGATTGAAAGAGAAGGGGATGATGGATGAAGAAGAGGGGTGATTTTAGAGGGCACCGGGCTTGAAGTATATGTAGAGCATTGGGTACGGCTCTTAGGCTTCATGCGGCAAAAGTAATAGTGATTTGACGGCCTTGGAAGTTGAGGCAATTCAACACTCACGCTGAATTTACCGCCGCTTGATCAAACGCTAGTTTAGGGCCGACGGACAAAATGCGTATCCCAGTCGGCTCGGCTTTTCATGCGACGGAGCAAATGCAACCCTAATACCACTGCCGCATCTAACGTTAACCCGTCGGTGGTAGAAGTCTGAACTGCCGGTTTCATTCCCAGGAGGCCTCGCTATTGTTCCAACCGACGGTGAAAGTATCACACGGTCGCTTATATCGCTATGGCAGCGAAAGTGGCGACATTGATAAATCAATTTGTAGTAGCGATTAGGCTACTGGAGCAGCTGAGTCACAATTACCATATAATAGATAAGGCAAAACAACTTTACAAATTATGTGGCCGCATTCCTAGAATCAAGAATTTAAGCGTCAAATATTTGTTATCTGGATCACTATTTTCAGTGTATGGATCTTAACTATTTTCAGTGGATCAGACCTGTGAAATGCACATCTGCTCTGAAAAATTCTAACATTTTATAATAATAATCATTGGATTTACTGAAACCATGAACTGTTTAGACATTCAGATATTAATTGATTCTTGTATCAGGAAAAATAAAGTCCATAACTGATTAAGCACCGTCTACATCTGCCAAAACTGATAGCTGCAACATGAACAAAATAAAAATCAACAATGAGCTAACTTTGGATAAAACGTGTTAACATTAGAATGTCTATCTGAATTTCTTTTCTAGAATTACTGGTCTATTTTTGTAATCACCTTATCCTCCAAAGTTTAAAACACTTCAGAAAAGACTGATAATACCAGCAGGACCAGCTTCATGCTTATGTATCATTGCAAAATCAGTTATCAGGGAGACGCATAATGCGTCTCAGTTAGATACATCCCCTGGATGAGGTAGAAGACATCTGGGACCTTGTTGGAGTAAGACAAGCTGCCATTGGCCTGCGAATCACGACATTAAATTTGGTCATTCGGGTAATTTAGTCATTCGCCACATTTCAGGCAGCGATGGTAACTGAAAGAGGAGAATGTGCAGACCTAGAAATGGTGGTAAAGGGATTGAGGGGATGAAATGTGCTGGAAGGTGGTCGGCGGCAGCGGTGGAAGAGGACTCGACGCCGTTGAGGTATGCAGCGGTGGAGTCCTCGGAGCACAGGAAGAGCGAGAGGGTGAGCTGGAGGTGGTAGGCCTCCTCCGTCTGCTGCGCCTAGCTCTTCTTGTGCATATGCACTTGGTTTATGCTGTCATTTATCGCAACATTAGCTCACACATTTCATCAAACGCCTGAAGGGCAAACAAGAAAAAGGGAAAAGCACACTGCATCAGGAACAATGGACCTCGACGAGCTTACCAGAGACGTCTGTTAAGTGGAGGCAGCGGAGAGACGGGCGCCGTCCGCAGCGGCGGCGGGGCAAAACGGGACGGCGATGGAGCAAGCGAGGAGGAGGCGGTGTGTCCTCGCTCCTCGCGTCCGTGGCGGCGGCGGCGGCGGCGAACGGAAGGGCGAGGGAACAGGAAGAGGAGAGGCGGGAGACGGCGCGTCGTCACTCCTCGCATCCGCAGCGGCGGCGGGGCGAGACAGGAGGGCGACAGAGCACGCGAGGGAGGCGGCGCCGGCGCGTCCTCGCTCCTCGTGTCCGCGGCGGTACCGAGCGGCGCAGAAGCGGCGCGCGAGGGCCCGAGGAGGCGAGGACGGGTCGGAGCGAAGGCCGTTCTGCGCCGAGTTGCTGCGCGCACTGGGTTGAGAGAAAGGGGAGGCGAGGGAGGTGGTGAAGAGAAGGGCATCGGGACTAGGGGAGGAGGGCGGCGAGCTCGCAGCTGATTGGGGAGTCCTGGCTTCAGCGGATTGAGGGTGCGAGGCGGTGGCGTGGGGGGCCAGGTATCGGAGAGGCAGCGTGGAGTCGGTAACTTTCGTTCTGCCGCTGTGAACGATTCCAGTTTGATCTTTTTAGGAGTAGAGAAAATGCATGTCATGTTCACCAAGTCACATTACGCACCAGGGCCGTTTCCACTTCCGGTCAGTCAGCCTCACCCACCCTACCGGGGTGTCGGTTTAGGTCATGTGAGGATACTCGTGACTTCTGTAATCAAAACTTGGGCTCCTCTATTTTAAAAAAGATGAATTAGAAGTTTTTTTTCTTATGTTTGAGCATTGGGTTGCACGGTAATTGTTCTTTTGGGCCAAATTTACCTAAAGTTTGGTGATATTTTTTTTATCTAAGGCACGGCTTTATTGTGTTTTGAGTCCAAAATTAATACAATATTTCGCTGCAAAAGGCATGTTGTGATTCATAATTATTCGCAAGAAAAAAAGATGGGGAGCAACACACAAGCATGCTATATAGTGCAATGGGTCGATGCCCCTATTTGGGACCGCTTATCTCGCGATGGCGGTCGAGAGAAGCCAAGAATCCTGCCAAATGTCGTGTGGTCCGCTCAATTCTTATCATCGCGTCCGACTCCACCACCGCGAGAATGAACAACCAAGATGATTTCATGTATCGTGGTTCCTATACCGCTGCTCATCTACCTCAACACGTGGTGGGAGATCACGATCCCAAACAAGGTCTATAAAAGATGATACAGTAGGAGTGAGCCCAACCAACCAGAAACTTAGGACCAGGACTGTTACGAGAAAACTACAATTCGTCGTGACGTCGTTGTAGACGTTACAGGGGCGGATCTGGAGGGGGCTGCCGGCCTCGTGGGCCGAAACATTTGAGAACGAGTCCTAGAGGCAGCCCAACAGCCCCCTCCACAGCCCAAGTCGCAGGGAGTTCCCAACCAGCTCATGTCCGCTCCGCGACTCCGAGAGTCCGAGTCTCTGTCCGACGCTTGCTCAGTAGTTGGCTAGTCGCTCCCGCAATCTTGTTGCCTCGGCGCTCGCCTCGTCCAGTGTCCGGCCTCCAGCGTTCGAACCTCCGTGGTCCCCGCCTAGTTCCCTCATGCCCTCCCTGTCGTGGCGTTGCTGCATGCCCGCCTGCGGCCTGCCCTTCTCCGTGGTCGGCCACGGCGAGGCCAGGCGAGCGACAGATCCCGTCGTTACTGGCACTGAATCCCTGCGCGCGCCCCGCTTTGGCGGCCGGTGGTGTCCCGTGTTCGGGGTGGCCACGTCCGGATGCGACGCGAGAGCACCGGGCGTGGTTTGGTTGACTGGTGCAGCGGGAGTGCCGGCATCAGGGGGCAATATTTGCGAGGCGACAGCTTCTCCTCGCCGTAGTCTGGGTACAATTTCTATCCTTCTAATTTAGCCACGCTCTTAGTCTGTTTCTGGTTCCGCAGGGCCCGTTCGGCTTACCCCATGTCCGGCCATGTCCGGCTTGTTCGGTTTTTTTTAGCTGAAACAGTATTTTTTCTCTCACAACATTTCAGCCAGAACAGTGTTTTCCGCCAATTTCAGCCAAGATTCAGCGAGTCGAACGAGGCCACATGTCTGTTTCTATATCCGCCACTGGTTGTAGAGAAAACTAAACAAGGTCTATAAAAGATGAAACAGCAGGAGGGAGCCCAACCAACGGAAAACTTAGAACTAGAATGTTACGAGAAAACTACAATTCGTTGTGACGTCGTCGTAGAGAAAACTGCACTCACATGTCACATGACATGAGAGCTAAGCTGTAGAGCACCGTATCTTAGCCTGAGCCACTGATGTCACTAGCACTGGCATGCCCAGCCTGTACCGTCCGTCCGTCCCGCTGCAGCCTCCTATGTCGCGCGCTTTCGTCGCCATATGGGTCCGTTTATCGCTGTCGCCAGTAGCCACGCGCCAGGCACCGAGCCAGGAGCTCGTCCATAACGATACCGTGCACTGTTCCATGCACTTCCACATGTAACACCATGTTTTTATCCTACTGTTTGTAAGTACTCACGCGTACGTGCAGTTTTCGTCTTCCTATATAGAGAATGGGCCTCTTTGGTTCTTTAGTCCAGGAACTAAACTTTAGTCATATACCTCGTTTAGTTTTAGAGACTATAGGGGACTAAAGGACGTTAAAGTTGTTAAAAAGACTAAAATACCTTTCTTATCTTCTTCTTTCCCTCTCCCATGGACCTAGCCTCTCCCTTATCCATCCCGCGCGTGCATCCCGGCCACCATTGACAGCATGGCCGCCGAGCACTCCGCGACATGGCCCTCCTCCTCCTCTCCGCCCCTTCACGTGCCCTCTCGCTCGCTCCATCACCGCGAATAAGCACTGCCGCCGCCATGGCCGGGGTTGACCCGAGCTTCCCAATCTCTCCACTTCGACTACATCCGGCCTCGGTTTCTCCCACGTTGTCATCGCAGTGGCCCGACGAGGCCGCGACACCACTCCTTGGCATGGAACGGAGCCCACAGCACCGCCCCTCCAACCTCGGCAAGGTGCGCCGCCGCCCTTGGCAGTGGCCCGACGCGCGCCGCACTCCTGGGCGCCGAGCATCGCCGGGAGTGGAGGAGCTCCGCCAGGTGGGGAGGGGTGCGCCGCCGGGAGGGGAGGGGAGGGGAGGGGCGCGGCTGCGAGCGGTTGTAGGAGGGGTGGGGACCGGCAATAATTGAGGGGCAGGGCAAGTCCATTTAGGCCAGTAGTCTCAAATGGCCACCCTTCAAGGAACTACAGTCTAGTAGTCTCAAAAACCACTTTAGTCCGTCTTTAGTCCATACGTTTGGCAAACTAGGGACTAAATGAGATTATACGGGGTTGTTTGGATCCAGTGACTAAAGTTTAGGAGGTGTCATATGGGGCTGTCACATGGGATGTTTGGATACTAATAAAAAAACAAATTACAGAATCCGTCAGTAATCCGTGAGACGAATTTTATTAAGCCTAATTAATCCATCGTTATCGCATGTTTACTGTAGCACCACATTGTCTAATCATGGACTAATTATGCTTAAAAAATTCGTCTCGCAAAACCGTCTCAATCTATGCATTTAGTTTCGTAATTAGTTTATATTTAATACTCCATGCAAACATCCGATTGGACAGCAACTAAAGCTTAGAAGGTGAATCTAAACACCCCCTGAATTGAGGGACTAATCAGTAGTCCCATCTAACCAAACCGGACCTGTATATATGGCTCATGATGTACGCTGCTGCTACGCAAATGCAACACGTCTAAGCTTAACCATGGATCAGGCGGCCTACATTGCCATTCTCGCCCTAGTCTTGCTCTTCCTCCTACACCGTGTCCATGGTTTTGCCAGTCGCAACCTCAAGAACAAGAGCATGCGGCTGCCGCCGAGCCCTCCCGGCGCCATCCCCTTCCTCGCCCACCTCCACCTCATCAAGAAGCCATTCCACGCCACGCTGTCCCGCCTCGCCCAGCGCCACGGGCCGGTCTTCACCCTGCGCCTCGGCTGCCGCGACGCTGTGGTCGTGACATCCCTGGCGTGCGCCAGGGAGTGCTTCACGGAGCACGACGTGACCTTCGCCAACCGCTCGCTGCTCCCCTCGCAGAGGCTCGTGACCTTCGACGGCGCCGCGCTCGGCGCAGCCAAGCTACTGGCAGCACTGGCGCAACCTCCGCCGCATCGCCGTGGTGCTGCTCCTCTCGGCGCGCCGCGTCGGCTGCATGTCGGGCGTCATCTGCGGCGAGGTGCGCGCCATGGTGCGGCGGCTGCACCGCGCGACGACGACGACCGCGGCGGACGGCGGCGCCGCGCGGGTCGAGCTGAAGCGCAGGCTGTTCGAGCTCTCGCTCAGCGTCCTCATGGAGGCCATCGTGGAGAACAAGGCGGCGAGCCCGGAGTCAGACGCGGACGACGACACCGACATGTCGCCGGAAGCGCAGGAGTTCAAGCAGGTCATCGACGAGGTCTTCCCGTACGTCAGCTCGGTCTTGTGGGACTACCTGCCGGTGCTGCGGTGGTTCGACGTGTTCGGCGTGAGGAACAAGATCCTTGCCGCGGTGAGCAGAAGCCAGAAGGGACGCGTTTCTGCGGCGGCTGATCGACGCAGAGCGGCGGAGGATGAGCGACGGCGTCTACAGCGAGAAAAAGAGCCTGATCGCCGTGCTGCTCACCCTGCAGAAGCTAGAGCCGGAGGTTTACACTGACACCATGATCACGGCTTTTTGCTCGGTGAGGGATTCATTTGTTCGTTCAATTAATTTCACCCGAAATTAGACTGGTACAGACTACAGAGACGATGGTTCTCTATCACTGACGACGGTTTAACGGATTTGTTTTGAAGAACCTATTCGGAGCTGGAACAGAGACGACCTCGACCACAGTCGAATGGGCGATGTCGCTGCTGCTGAACAATCCAGGTACACTCGAAAAGGCACGAGCTGAGATCGACGCGGCCGTGGGGCGCTCCCGCTTGATCAACGCGGGCGACCTGCCGCGTCTCGGCTACCTCAGGTGCATCAACGCCGAGACGCTCCGCCTGTACCCGGCCGCTCCGCTGCTGCTCCCGCACAAGTCGTCCGCGGACTGCAAGGTCGTCGGCTACGACGTCCCGCGCGGCACGGCGCTGCTGGTGAACGTGTACGAGATCCACAGGGACACGGCTGTGTGGGAGGAGCCGGGCAGGTTGGGCTGTTCGTGGCGCCGTTCGGGATGGGGGGGCGCAAGTGTCCCGGAGAGGCGCTTGCGCTGCAGAAGGTTGGGTGGCGCTGGGGCCCGTGTCCCTGATCTAGTGCTTCCACTGGAGCAGAGTCGACGGCGTGTCGGTTGACATGAGCGAGGGCAGCGGACTCACCATGCCCATGTATGACGACGTTCTTCAGAAGCTCTGATAGGACGGACACCTTGATCGTTCACGGTGTGCACAATGCACTAAGTAAGCTTCTCCTGAGCATGTTTCAGGTCATCAAATGAAAGACATGTTTTAGACTGACTGACAGAGAAAATTATTAAGAATAGAAAAGGACTAAAGAAGCGTCTAATTCAAGCATGACAAGACAAGCAGCTATCTCTGTTTGGCCCAGGCGAAATGGACTATGGTGATTAATCGCAGAAACGTACATCTACAACATGTGGCTTGTGGCAAACAAAAGAGGCCACGATGGAACATTCATGATGATGTACACAGGGTAAGGCGCCTTTGTGTCAGTAAGGTATTTTCAACTTTTGGGTCTTCTGCGTCACAATAGGAAGTTTATGGGCAATGAGATTCGGGTCCGCGTACGCTGCAGAGTCTGAAGGATATCCTTTCTGCATTATAGAAAAGAGATGAAATATGAAAATATTCTAGCAATGTCCTCAACTTAACCTTATTGAAAGAAGGTGCTTGGTAGAGTGATAGCATACCGCAGACAAACTAGCAAATGTTGCTTCCCTCCAGCAACATTCACGGAGTACCACTGGTTTGGCTCCATTGCCATTTCCAAACGAACAATGTAAACGAGTGTCTCTCAATCTCATCAGTACACCATCAACTCTAAGCTGTTAGGTCGACAGGCAATCATCAGTAAGGACAAGCTGGTCATATATGAAGATAAGAATCTTGAAAACCTACATATGTCAAAAACTTGCAACTTAAATGTGGGGGGACACTGTTACACGCTTATTACTCAAACATACGTTTGGAGGATCTTCAGTTCAAGCTTAGGCCTCAATAATTAATATACAACCTTTCAAATGTTCTATCTTTTCTTGTTCCATAGGATCGGTTTAGCCTAAGCCTACCCCAACTTCGTTTTATTTCAAAGGGATGAGCATAAAGTCAATTACAAGAGGAGTGAAGTTATTTATTGATCAGCTCTTCACAAGTTTTCCTGAAAAATCTTGGATTGATGAACACTGAGGGCAACAATCTGAATCAGTATTATCACTATAATTGTAACAGGTTCCATCCTATATGCGACAATACATCACCCTCAGAAATTGTCTTCATATTAATGAGGCATCAAGTACAAAAATTAAAATGCAAGGTAGTAGAACATACCCAGAAACGCAAAAGCAGAAACCAACCAGTTGGCATTACCCTCTGCACATACACAACCAAGAATCCTATTAATGAGTAGAACCAAAAGACAATGTTGTCACAGACATTACAGTTGAGGAAAAAGGAACAGATAAGCATCATTGGGGATTGCATACCACTCGCACTGTAAGAAATGAGATACCATTGTCAGCTAACTCATCTTCATACAAGATAACCTACATACATCCTGTTAGGGGTAGACCAGTATCCAGATAAATTATGAACCATTTGTTCCATTGCCATACCTCGTCATAGAAAAGAATTGGCTCTTTTGCTGAAAGGGCAACAAGGTCAATCCGATCATTAGTATCCTCCCAACACAAAGTGCTGCATCCATCTAAACTTGTTTGTGTCTGGAAAATAAAATTGTATGAACAGGAACTATTTGTCAGTGGACTACACTAGTAAAAAAGTGAAGGGCAGGGGAACAAATATAAAACTTTGAAATCAGATTAAATTAATTCAGCTGAGATCAGGTCCATACAGTGCCTGAGTTCACAACCACAGCATCACTCCCACAGTATGGTGTCGTAAATGTATAGTCGTAATCAAGTATAACCTGGTCAGAAGGCTTGCTGCAAGAAAACATGTTAAAAGAACATGTGGTTAGGATTTTTTTAACAAACTCACAAGTTAAGAATTAACACATGATATTTTCACCATCTGATTTTTTTTCAGATAAGACCAATATAAACATCTCAAAGTGTGTGCTATTGTACTTCTCTTGAAATAATGCATGATACGGACAAAATAAAATCAATTTAACTATATTCATCCACAAATATGTATTTCTGATCAAAGCTTTAGAAAATTTTAAGACAAAATCCATTGCTTTGAAACAGGGTGGGTGATGCCAAGCTAATGCAACATCTTTCACTACAAATGCTCAGTGGTATGAATTGAGTAAAAAAGGAAGTACAGTTATAGATGACCTTCTGAACTTCCATTTTGCTGCAGCAGGAACCTCAACAGGTGGCAGTGTCTCTTTCTTCCATGCCTTGAGTGCATCAAGCGCATTAAAATGCAATTTGATGCCAGTTTGAGTATGTTGAAGGGACAAGAAACTCTCTCCGAAAACCATCTCAGGTAAATGTGTCGTTTGAAGTTCATCTTCAAAGCTGAAGAAGAATAGAGTAGACATTACAGAATTTAGCATTAGCTTTCTCTAAAAGCAATATTCATCTATTTAATACTGAAGATTTCACAGATGTAACACCAGTAGACACTGGATAGATCCAATATTACTAGCAGCCATAGTGTGCTTTAAAGTAGCAATGTTTTAATAAATCAACTATAAAGTTACTGTGCACATTTTTCCTGACTGAATGTAACAATAGAAAAGTTGATATACTGACAGTCTGACACCATTGGTTAATGATCAATTATCATTGGTGTGATCAGGGAGGATTCACAGTTCAAGCATTACCTCCAATCCCCACCATGTGGAAGTTGGATGCCAAGACAAGCATAGTGTAACAAAGTTGAAATATATATGAACTCCATGAGTGATGAATTAAGAACTAATGTGACATGAATAATCAGATCAAAGGGAGGGTCAGACAGACAGGAAAAGTACACACAAATTGATCAAATACGCTGCAGCGCTACTACTACGAACCCGAAGCTCTGCCTATTACGAGTCTGAGTCCAAGTTTCCGGTCTTCTACATAGACGAATCGAAAGGACGGGGAGAGTAAGGGCTAGGGTTTATGGTGGGGGTGGCTCGTACCGTTGGAGGGAGGCGGCGTTGAGGATGGGGCCTTTGTGGGACTGGATGACCCACCCCTTCACTCGCACGCCGCCGGGAATCGCCGCCGCCCCCGCTGACTTGAGCTCCGCGGCCGTCGGGCCCTCCCACGCCGCCGCCGAAGCCATCTGCGTAGTTTGCTTCAAGCTGAGGAATTCGCAGTGGCAGTGCTGCCCCCTTTCACCCTTTGTACTGCAGCACCTGGCAGTTATTTGTCGACCGTCTGATAGACAACGTCGTGTTCGGCTGGCTGGCTGGCTGATCGCCGGCTGGCCAGCCGTCTTACAAAATCACTATTCATGTTGAGAACATTATTTTTTTCTCACAGCAATCTGTCTATAATTTAGAACAATATTTTTCTCTCACAACAATCTATCTATAATTCACTGCTACATGTCCACTACAGCGCTCGGAGCCTGGAATAGGCGAGGACGTGAGGTGCGAATTCGGCACGAATTCAAACGGAAACAGCCATGTTTTTAGAATTTATGTGGACGATTTGATAGCTATAAACGTTCCAGAAATGACCAATGTGGTTCTTGATCAAAGTTCGCGATCCTAAAGGCACAGTCGCATATCCTATAGCTGCATGATTACAAACATTGCAAAGTACGTCGATTTACATGTATGATGTTGGATACGCTCTGTAGATATAACGAGCCCCTCCGTCTCTTTTTTTGCTTTTCGATAAGTACATTAATCTCGAGTTTAACCAAACATACATATAAATATTGATATTTATTATATAATAAATGTTATTATCAAATGTATTTTTATAATAAACCTACCTATAGAGGTATAAATATTAGTATATATATTTTGTAAACCTAGTTAAACTTTTAAAAATATGACTTAGTGGGACAGGTAGTAAAACAGTCAACAGCATGACCAAAGTGATCGATCTCATACGCAATCAGAGTGGCAGTATGTGCTGTAACTGGTTACCGGGGTGGCGGGGTATAGTGGGTGACCATCACTCAAATTTCATCAAGCTGGTGCTCCGCAGAGCTTATAAAATGTTCTAAACATCTTTCGGGCATTACCGCTCGATGTTTATCGTCAGAAGAAATATAAGTTGTTGGTATTAGTATACACACTGGGAGTTTATCAAAGTAAACAGATAATGATACAAGCTAGTATAACAAATACATTCAGCACAAGACAAAAAAAAATCATGTGCTGGTCGTGTTGTAAGCCGCGTCTGCAGAGGACGTATCCATGTCATTCAGGCCAAGTTCCTCATTCTGCTCCCAACTCCTCTGATACTCCTCCACTGTAATCCACAAAGAACACGTTCAGTATGAGTCCGCACATCCTTTTAACTTGCAGTGTTGGGTATCAGGGGAGCACCATCGCGTATCTGAATTGTCGATAAGGTTAACTTACTGGTTAGCTGGCTGTCATCTTCTAACGATTCAGTAGCCGGGGCCACAAATGAAGCCGCCAATCCATCATCAATTATTAGAGTCCAGGCTTCTTGTAAACTTAAAAGCTGGTAAAATACATTGACAAATAGTATTCATTAGGGTAAAACCTCCATTAAGCTATATAGAGAAACAAAGAGAGAGAGCAAAGAAATTACCTTGGATAGTCTCTCCTTGAAATCCTCCCATTTCTTCTTTTTCCATTCGAGTGTGCTATCGCCCAATTGGAATCCATGTATTCTCTCCAGAGCTGTAAATGAAAAAAAAAATAGGGGGAAACAAAGACACATGTCAGATTCAAAATCCTCTTCTGAGCTTCAATAAGTGTGTGCATTCCATTTTGGCATAAAAAAAGAGAGGATGGGTGAATAAAGTGAAGCAGACCTACCCTCGCATATTTTCACAATTAAACCTTCAACAGTTGTGACCATACCACCCAACGTTCCACATGAAAGCTCCAACTCAAGTTCAGGGACTTTCACGCTAGCTGAATCTGACTGAAAAACAAAACCCAAATAAACAAAGTCGAGCATTAGAAGATGGATCCTGTCTAACAAGTTCTTTAGTCTATATAAGTATGTGGCTCCAGTAGAATCACAAATTATCAATCTGTGTAATGAACAAGGTAAAGAAATGCCAACATATTAGAGTAATGTTCAGGGGAGTCCACATTGCACACTGAGAGAAGCCAAAAAGGACAGCACAGAGTTAGATTCTGACTCGCAAGTTGCAAAATATATTTTACTTGACAGTACATCAGGTCATTAATGTCAAATAACCTTTTCCCTTACCTAGTCCAAGGGTGAAGCTACCTTAAGCTGCTACCAGGGCATATTGAACAAATTCAAGTTGTTGCTATCTATTTTCTACCGGTTAAGCACCCCCATGCCAACAAGCTATGGACCCACCAATCCAGAAGCAAATCACTTGGTTGGGCTGCAAGCTCGGCCCAGCAACACCATGGGGTCATCCATTGTGTATGCTGTGCTCCGGTCAACCTATGCTCCCCTATGCCTTCACTCTCTGCTTCCGCAACACAGGGCGTCCAGTACCCATTTTGGACTTTTCTAGCCTTGAACCACTGGCAATGCCTTTTTTCTAACTAATTCTCTATCTTGACTTTCTGCAATTTAATTTAGATGCTTCTTAGTTAAATTTTGATGAAACTGTAGGGTTTGGGCTTGAAACTGGGGCTTTCTAGAATGTGTGAAAAAATTGCAGTCTGCATGGGACTCCTAGTGTAAAATAAACTTCATTATAGTGTCAAATAAACTTCTGGAAGCATTATACATGTTCCAATTGACCACTGTAAATCCCATATGTTATATCGATGGTGCGAATTTTGACTGAAACATTAATATTAAGTACAATGTTGCCCAGGAGTTATGTATAGTTCGCTGAAACATTACTACTAGTTCTTTATAGAGAATTGAAACCTACAGTACCTTCAAATTTAAGCTTTTGAGAACCTCGAAATCAGATGACGTATTTTTTTATTTAGCCATCACAGCTTCACTAACTACACTATTTTTCTCATTGTTTGGCAAATTTTTTTGGTACAGGGCGCTTGTATTGAACTACTCATTAAAAACGGAAGTTGTATTATTAGGCAACATATACTTGTGATAGCATGGCGCACCCCTCCCTGGATTTTACTCTAGATTTGTCCCTGCCTAATCATATGATCATCAATCTCATGCACAGGCATGCAAGTTGTTGTAAACAGGAAACATCCAAACCTTTATGACATCACGAGTAAGGTCTCGTGCGTTTTGAACACGCAGTGTAATTTTCTTTCCCTTCGCTGGAATTTCACCCCCAGGCTTCAGCTGATTGAACAAAGAGGAAGAGAGTTTTGAAATAAAAGTGTCAAAAGGCGCCAATCAGGTAACTAAATCTTATTTACAAAACAGTGGTAGGACAATCAAACTGACCTCTGAATTGCGATAACCACACATGTCACATGTTGTCGCCATAACAATCACCTCCTGGAAATATGGGATTTCTAGCAAAGGTCAAGGTTCACATACTTTTTAATTGCAGTGTTAAGCAGCAGACAGGGATCCCAAAATGTTCTGTTCCTATATTCAAGAACCTAATCAAAGGGTTGCAGCTATGTTTCAGGTCCTGGAAACCTGATATATCCCTGCAAGCATGTTTGGTAAATCCAACCAAACGATGCCTGTTTAAGTGGTGTGAAGCCATAAACCATAGCTCCAGCTAGAAACCATCCAGAAAAAAGAAGACTTATGTCTTGTTCAATACCCAATGTAACCCCATCCCAAATAACAATATTCACCGGTTCAAAAGTGAAATACCATATCTGGATCAACCAACAATGGTAAAATCTTAAAAAACAGCCTGGGCAGGCCACATATCAGGAATATTATAACTCTGGCATAAATGTAGGATTCAAAATCAACAGAATCACAGAGACCTGTATTTCCAACAAACTATCTCATAGCTAATTATTGCATACCACCAAGATATCCAACCATTGCACCCTCTCTAGGTGGTTTGATGGCTATTAACAGTAACTACCTTAACACCAAAGAAGAAAATTTTCCAGTGGAAGTTTTCAAGTTTCAACTATGGAAAAAGCAAGCAAAACCCATGGTACAGGAGCGAAGGCAGCAGAGGTGTTCTAACACAAATTACAAGATCCTTTTTCTAGTCCTTATTCTAAGAGAACAAAGGTCATCACAAAACCAAATAAGCATAGCCAAGATACTATTCATACTCCATTACTGAGCTTGGTCATGAAAATAACTAACGGCTACACAGGCATCATGTGCACTCTATTTTTAATAAGTCAGGAAAAAGGATACTTGTAGCAAAGAAACGTGTGACACATTCTGTTCCACAGGCCCCACAAGTTGATGGTAAAGTATCAACCTGTCCACGTGAAATTTATAAGGTACATATAAACATAATCCGTGAGGTGATTGTTGCCAGCAACTTGGTAGATAATAGATATACCTCTTCTGGTGCTGAGTATCTACACAATGATGCAGCAATTTCGTCAGGGTTTCCCTGAGCTATAGCACGACGACCTGCAACAGCTCCAACTGAGCCATGGGGCACGCTTTGCAACCCATCAGAATTAGCTGAAGCAGGCAAAACAGCCTCTCCAGGCTGTTCTGTTGGTGGTTCAGCAAGAAAACCAAGTGCTGCTTGTTGTTCACGAGTCCTTTCGTAGAATCTCACAGATAGTAAAGGATCTGATGACGGAGCATGCCTGTGGGTTTATGAAGATTAATCAGTGTGGCAAAGCCAGATGAGGCACGTGCATGGGGGGATTAATAACACATACCACGTATTATTATCTCCCTATGTACAATCCAGCTGTAGCCATTACATAATAGCACAATCTAGTCAATTCAAATCACTATAGGTTTTTTAGAGTCACTATAGGTTATGTGACAAGACAATTCAAACAATATTACCGCAAAGGAAAACAATGTAAAAATATCATCCAAGTAGTTCAAACATTAAATTATGATGCATAGAACAGTGCCTTCCATATCAGAACATGTATGTAAGTCAAAACAATTCTAAATCCCAAACAATGTAAATTATGAGGTACCCACAAAAAAACACTTACGGGTTCTCAATAAAGCTGTTTCCCTTGGGGTCATCAAGAATAAAGGTGAATGCAGCCTCTCCTGACCCAAGAGATCTCAACTTCAGTAAAATTGATCGATGGCTTCAGCCTTCTGAGGATCCACTTTCTGCAGAAGATCAGCGTGTCACCATGTGGAGTAATTCGAATTCCAAAAGCCAAGCATACAAATACCCAAGATTCACCTTTCGTTCGTCTTGAAGTGCCTGCAGCTCATCCACAGCTCGCATAATAATCCCTTCCATCTGATTTACAAGGTAAAGAATAAGCAAGCTAGCAGCAAAAGAAAACATTTTGAAAGGAACTGTTTCCCAACAAAACAAATACAGCAAGGAATGAAGCATACAGTAGAAAGTGTTCCACGTTGAGCTTCTGGAGGAATCTCAAAGTCCAGCTCTGGAATCTGCAGATGGGTACAATGAATAGTTAGAAAAGCAATGCATTCTATGTACTTACTGCAATGTATCAAGAGGATCAAATATCAGCACACCTTGATAATCGCTGAATCAGACTTCACGACCTGACGATTCAGTATCTGTACCAGCACCACTAGTTAGTTATTATAGTAAATATATTTCGGTAACCATAATAATGCTTTATTAATTTATTATAAATGACAAATGTTAAAATAGGCTTGTAGTATAAACATTAAGATAGCTTAATTTTACCAAAACCATCAAATAAGACATAATCACCATGCAGAAAACATACCTCACTCTGCCCCAACGGAACCTCCAAGCTATAGCAGCATCTCTTGGGTTGGAGCTGTCCAGCAAACTGAATCTCATTGTTTCTACAACATAAGGATGCAAACTCAAATTATATTACCATCAACTGGCAAGTAATAGCTCCATCAATCATAGACCTGGACAAATTCCGATAAACAAGAAATTGGGCATATCGTTACCTCTCCCCACAATGAGGGCACTCGAAGGCCATCAGAACCACCTGCAGATTTACAAAAGCAAATTTCACAAAGTGGTACTAATCAGAACAAGCAGCTGACGCCATGAGCACAGAAAGTACCTCCCGGAAATGCGGGATCAGCGTCAGCAGAAGCCTCGTGATGCCCTAACCACTGACCACATGAAAGAGAAGCAGCAGGCCTCAGAACCCTTCAACAAGCGCCCCGAACAGAAGAGGACGGAACCATGGAAAACGAGAGGTAAGGGACGGGGGCACTCACGTTCTCACCGCAGCGCATGCAGAGGGACTCGATCTCGTGGAGAGGCGTGGCGTGGGCATCCTCGTCGGCAGCCGCCGACTCCGCCGCGGAGCGGAGGTCCACCACCACGCGCCCTTCATCGCCGGAGCTCGCCATTGACGCTGGGAATAGTTGTCAGCTGCAGCACTCGTGGACGAGACAGCTCTGTGGAAGCTCCTGGCGATCGCTATGCGTTGATTTGGCTATGGTGCTCGTCAGCTCGTGGGAGTTTGTTTGGCGGCTATGCGTCGCGGCGGGAGGGGAAGAGGGAAAAGCGAACGGGGAGAACCGAGAACAGGATGCTCTAGAAGCAGAAACGACCGCGCGGACTTGGGCTGAGCTGGGACAGGGAACTGAAGGACAAGTTTTGCTACATGGACCCGAAAGGCCTGAAGCCCAGTAAAGCGTAGTGTTACTCTATCCTATTGGGGGAGGTAGGTTAAAAAAGCAAGAACGACACTGCTAGCGTCCGGACATCCGCAGCAGCGGTCTATTTTTCTGCGTCCACGCATGGGCCTGTGCTGGTCAGACGTTGCTCTCCGCGCCTGCGCCTCGTGGCCACGCTGTTACTAAAGCATGTCATGAGCATCATGTTTATGTGTTAATGTATGTGATAAAGTATGTAGATCAATTTCTGTAACTCGAAACGATCAACTAAAATGCAAAACGAAAAGTTACTCCACGAACTGTATAGTTAGGAAGTAGAGTCGTTGTAACACCTCTGGTGTTACGAGTTGCTTATAACCTAGATTAAGGCCTAAAAACAATTTTGAGTTTCTCGGATTTTAAATTTAAAACACTTGAACTTATATTTAAAAGTATCGTTTTTGGCGAGGTATATTGAATAAACTAGTTAAGTAGTTCTTAGATGTTTTGTTTCTACGAGTTAGTATGACATATGGACTAGTGTATGAAATGCCTAGTGGTTGAAATTAATTAGGTTTAGGCATATTAAAATTTTTAGCAAAAGCGCTAGTAGATGTTAGTTTAAACTGAAACCTTTAATTTTCTAAGTATGGAAAGGTAGTAGATAATGCTGTTTTGGTAATTAAATTCTAGCTAAAATACCTAAACACTAGCTTCAGGTAATTATACAGTTGATTACATCAAGGTGAGTACTTGAGTATGGTATAGGTTGTAGTCACGATGGGAGTCATGTTGTGCTCATAAAAATTGCCCAAATTCCTTAGAACGCACGGTGAATCACGTTTTGGTGCTTTGTTCGCGAACGGGAATTCAACGTGGCAAGCCCATGTTGGCATGCATCTAACTCCTCCTCGAATTACTCCCTAGCCTTGGCTATTGCTTCGCCGTATAGTTGGCACTACGGGCTTAAGATTAGGGAAATTAGTTGAACTTCATCTAGGGTCGATAGCGGTTTTTGCGTCGCTTTAAATATCGTGCGTGTTGTCGTTTCGACCGTTGGGCTCCCGTGGCCGCGGTCACCACGTGAGCCTGGTGCCATGGCTGCCCGACCGCTCCTGGCCGTGGCCGCTGCTCCGCTGGCCGCACATCGGGCCGGGGTGGGCAACGCTCGTCTCCGCGGGACTAGGCTAGGATCGCCGCCGATGAGGCCGTAGGCTGGCCGAGCGGACGCCGTGGTGGCCACCGTCTAGCCGACGTGGTAACTGCCCCACCCCTCGTTCCACCTACCACTACGATGATTCGGTCACCCTGGAGACGAGACACTTCCCTACCCTGCCTGTGCCGCTGTCGCCGCACCGTGGCCATCCGGTCCCTGTCGCAATGCCGAGGTGACGCTCCTCTACCTGCCTTGTCCTGCTAGCTGCCATGGAGAACTCTGCTCGGGTTCGGCTGACTCAATTCATGCACGCCGCGCCAAAGCTTGCTTCGTCTCGTAACTTGTGTGCACGGGTTCGAGTGGCAGCAAATGGCCGGAGCTGCCGTCTTAATCCGCTTGAGCTCGTTCACATATTCCTCCATGAAACAACCACGGCCTAAGCTCCGTGCCGTCGCCCATCGGTTTAGCCAGCTCATGGCTCCACGGTCCGATTACTCACGCCAGTAAGCGACTTAGGGAGCCAACTAGACACTCTATCTTCCCCATCTCCGGCCGATCATTACCGACCTCCAATTTGGTATTTTTGCTCAGGGTCGGCCAGAGCGTCGCTGCGACCTCGAACTTGGGGGTAAGGCCCGTAGGGCTGGTAGAAGTTCAATTACTTGCAGCCGGGAACTCGTCTTGACCTTCTCTAGCTGGTGCTCGCGTCCTCCTGCTAGGGACCTCGCCGGAGATGTGGTGACGCGCCAGTGTTCGGTCGGAGCATCGTCGCCCCATCAGCTTGCACGTGGCTAGCGCTGTGGGGGTCGTCTTCGACTTCACCACCACCTTGACCTTGTTCGTTGTAAGCTGCTGATGCTCAATCGCCCCTTTTAGTCTGTTACTTGCGTTAGCTCGCTAGACCGCTCACGCCGCCGTGGCGGTTGGGCTGCCGCTATGGGTAGCACTGTAGAAGTCACTGTTTAACTTCTGATCGTCGTCCAGGGTTTCGTCTTGGCTTTGCGGCGCTCGTCGGCTCAATTATGGGGCTGGTGTTTTGTTCCGATGGTCGCTGTCTACGCGCTGCGCCGGTCAAAGTCGCACCGTCATGCGCAGGCCGTCGGGGACCATCCCATGGTAAAGGCAGGCTAGTTCAGGGGTCTCTCTACAAAATGTGTCTCTATTGCAATAGTGTGCATAGTGCCACGCAATAAATGGATAGATTGGGGACTGTTCTGTAAAACCATCGACGCGCATGCGGATTCCCCGCCTTGGGTAGTGACTAGGTTGTCCTGCTACGCGCGCCATGTTCCGCGTGGGCCATTTTGGGCTGCCAGGCCAGATCCGGTTACCGCCGGCCCTTTCCAATTTCTAAAGTCTTTTCTAATTTAGCTCTTAAGGTAAACTTATAAATTCAATGAAAATTTGTGTAGATGTTCAAAAATTGTGAAACTAATTTTGTTAGGTTCCTAAAATCATGATTTATCTGTTAACGTATTTTGTTCATCTAGTTGGTGCTATTTTTAGGATTGCAATAATTATTTTAAAATGTTTAATATTGTTAAAATATGAACTTGTGGGAATTTTTGTAAGAAAATGGTGATAGTGTCGACTCTGAAAACTTTACAGTAAATTCCTAATATTATTACTTGCTCACCGTAATTTTTGTAGCTCCAGAGTAATTAGTTTGATAGATAATGATGCCCTATTTTGAATAGATATTAAATCGATAGAATGGAATAAAGGAACAATTTGGGTTTGTATAGCTAAAACACTCATTGGGAGATAACGTCTGGTTTGGCAACATGGATACATAGTGTCGGTGCAGAAAGTGACCAACAAGTAAATATTTATAGTTTTACCATACGTTGTGATCGGAGGTGGCCTAGCACTCAATGACACAAGGTTTATACTGGTTCAGGCAACGTACCCTACGTCCAGTTTGAGTCGGTCGGCGACTTTATTCCTGAGCCCAAGTGCTCGAAGTTTGCAGTGGGGTTACAAACGAGAAGGAGAAAGATGGGGTGTACGAGAGGTCCGGTCGGCTCCGGTCGGAAGGGCCGAGAGCGACAGGAGCTCCTCTATGAACTAAGTGTTCAAGCGTGTGCTTGAGGTCCGAACCTGGCGGTTTTGTGGTTGTGAGCTAGTGAACTTGATCGATCTAGATTAACTTGTATGAACTTGAATCAACTGAATGTTGGAAGAGAGCACATCCCCTTTTATAGATGAAGGGGATGGCCTTACAAGTGAGAGGGAGAGAGTTCGTATGCTTCTAAGTCTTGTCGCCCACGCCGACGGGTACAAGAGGATGGTAGGCGCCCACAACACTGTTGGATGTTGGTTGTATATGGGAGGTTACATCGTCTTGTTTTGGGTATGGCAGATGTCGGCACCTGCATATACTGTTGATGCCCAGAGGCATGTGAGAAGTTTCACCATGTTCACTCGGTACGGTAAATCCCAGCGCCCACAACACTATCGATGCCCAGAGGCATATGGGGGGCCTTACCGTATGGGAGTTAACGGCGCCCATAATACTGTTGAGGAAAATGGCGACGCCTATAATACTATTTGTGTCAAGGCGATTATAGAGTACTGTTCCTGTAGGTGATAGGGTACGGTCCCTAGTATCATGGTTTGACTTGAGCGCCTTGTCTTGCTTTCTCTATTCATTCTCTGGTCCTTTCTGGGCGGGCGTCCCCGGTCGGTTGGTCCTAGTCGGCTCTGGTTGCGCCAGTCGGAGAAGAGCAGTGAGCAGGGTCTTTGCATACCCCGGTCGGAGACGTGGGGTCAGAGTCGAAGGTAGTGCTTTGCCAGGCCTTCTAGTCAGAGAGACCATCTAGAGGCGCTGGAGACCGAAGTGAGCACTCCGGTCAGAGAGGTGGGCCAGAGTCGACAAGCGGGCATTGTTCCTCCTCAGCCAGACCTTCTGGTTGGTGACTGAACCGCCCTTCTGGCCTATTGTTTTAGACTCTTGGGCCGGCCCATGAGTTGCGCACTGTCTGCTTGGGCCGAGCCTTTGCGGGGAAGCCGGTCTACGAGGGACCCTGGGTTTATAAACCTAACAGGAGCCCCTGAGCCCCTGGACGATTCGGGCAGAATCGTTTGGGGGATTTTTGTCTCGATGGCGAGTGCGCGCGAGCGCACCCGCGGGTGTAGCCCCCGAGTCCTTGGGCGGTTCGGGCAGAACCGTCTGGGGGGTTTTCCGTGTTGTCAGCGGGGGAGGTTTTTGTTTCGTCGGTGGGTGCGCGCGAGCGCACCCGCGGGTGTAGCCCCCGAGCCCCCGGACGGTTCGGGCAAAACCGTCTGGGGGTGTTTGTTAGCGGGCATGTGCGCGTGTTTTTCAGTCGAGATGGAGTTGTTTAACCAAGGCATCGTTGTGCAGCCGAGGTAGTTAGTTGTTTTTAGGGATCGGGTGAGACGGAGCTCACGGATCCTGGCGTCGATGCATGCCGTGGGATCGGGTGAGGCAGATAGTTTTTTAGGGATCGGACGAGATAGAGCTTGTGGATCCTGGCGTCGGTGCACGCCGTGGGATCGGGTGAGTCAAAGTCATGGATCCTGGCCTCGGTGCGGCCCGCGCAACTGATGCAGTCAATTTAGTTAGTTTGGGATC